CCGCTGCGCTAGTACCACCCCGTCGCCACCGACGCCACCGCCCCACCGCCGCCACCACCGCCACCACCGCCACCCCACGCCACCCGCCCCCGCTGCCGCCGCAGGTCCCATCGCTGTTCTCCGCCTCCACCCCGGCCACTTTCACCACCTTTTTTTTTTTTCTGGGCCCACTGCCGCGCTTCCGCCCCGGCCGCCGTGATGCTTAAGCCACCTTCCCCCTTACTACACCACGGCCCGCCGCCCGCCGTCTGCGCCCACCGCCACCACACCGCCCGGGCGCGCCCACTCCACCGCTACTACACCACCGCCGCCTCCACCCGCCCCTTCACCGCCTCTGGCACAGCCGCCGCGCCGCCGCAACCACCAAGCCACCTCACCACTACCACCACCGCCGCGCCGCCGCCGCCACCGCCGCCGCCACGTCGTCTCCGCTAAACGCGCCGAGGCCGCGCTGTTATCCACGCGCGCGCCACGACGCGAATACTTGCCAGCGGCGGACGCCAAGTTTAATACACGGAAACGCCCCCCTGCCCTCGCACGCCTGACGTGTCGCGAGGGTTTAACCCTCCTCCCCTGCGTCCCCGACGCCCCTGCCGCTCGCTCCCCTGCGTAGGCGTCACGGCGACGCAGGAGGCGACCGCGGGTGCCACGCGTCGCCCGTTGCGCCTCCGGGACCCAGAGAGAGAGTCTATGATCCCGCCAGGAAAACGTTTTCTCGCAATATTATCCGTAAATTTACTCCTTTAAACAGTTCTCCATTAAATGGATTAATTGAAAGTCTTAAAGCACTACCTACCGCCTTTATTGATGTTTATTTTTTCGTTTCTTTCTTATAACATGACTCAAATTATTAATTATTAAAATATCCTGAAATTAAAATGACAAATCTGGATTAGCTCGTATAGGGTAAAATTTGATTTAATGAAATTCAAGAATTAACTTCAAAACTCTCTATTATTTTAATAGTGATTTTATTCACAAGTTAACACATTTCACATTCATTTTATGCCATGGTGTATATTTTTTTTTGTTTTTTTCCCCCCGTTTCGACTTTCTCTTCATAACCTCTTTAGTTAGTTGCTAATTTGAGATTAACTTCTCTTACTGCTGTATGTTCCACGATGTTATTATACTTGACAAATGGAAATTTCTGTACTCTGGTAGCTCCCGGCGCACGAGCATGGAGTTCCCCAGTACGTTCTCGACTTCTCTCCGCAACTAAGGAAATGCTTGTCTTGTACGACCAACTCCTTGATTCCACGACCATGCCTCTTCTAAGACGTTTTACCTTGACCTCCCATTTCGGTTTCAAAGAAGTCATCAGCTCTTAAACAAACATGTTTTGACATTACTTACTCACTACCACGTCCCCAACAAAGTTCCAGCATTTTTTAGAAGGTAACTAACTATTAAATATTGAGGTACTTACAAGATTTCGTATGTACGAAATTCGTTTATTTATCAAACTATTATTATTCCTCTATAGATGTTCCTCTCTGCAGTTAGAATAGATAAACTTTATTCTCACTATTATTTGGGTGTCCACACGTGTCGTTACTTTGAGACATGAGCTACATTCTTGTTTACTAGTGTTGCCTATCAAAATGATGTTTCATCTGTGTACCTTGTTCGACGCAACCGCACTATTGTCTCATATGAAGATGCAATACGCATCAAATTCGCAATTACGCATCAAGATCACCGGTCTTGTACGCAAAGGTTTATAACGGCTGATGACACAAACAAATGCCCCAAATCTCTCTCTCTTGATTCATCCATTAAATGGATTAATTGAAATGTATTAAAGCACTACACGTACAGCCGTTATGATGATTTTTTTTCTTAATATAGGAATAGGGAATAGGAGCGTGTGCATTGGAGATTGAACGTATGTTCGCGCAATCCGCCCGTTCTGGCATCTATAAATGCTATTTCGCGAGCAATGGGATTCTTATCTTATCTCTCCACAGTTGCTCTCTTCTATTGGTCTTACTTTTGTAGTATTTTATATTATTTTCCACTCATTTGTTTTTACAAAATAATTTGTACTACCACATATCTCTTTCGTAATAAATCAGCACTTTTTGTTATTTTTAACTAAGTGATAGTGAACTTAAAGTTCAATTTGGGAGTTTGAACATCAGAACAGTGATGTCACTGTAGTGACTTTCAAGCTCCCAATTGAATTTCATTGTATCAGCTGATGAAACATCAAGAGCCATTATAAATTCTTAAAATATCCCTGAAATTAAAATGACAAAATCTGGAATATAGCTCGTATAGGTAAAAATTTGTTTAA